GTAGGGGGTGATGTTGCTGTAGTCGAACGGTGAGACGGACGTGTAGTTCAGTTTTGGGCACGCGTACGGTGCTGCAGGGATTATATATAGGTGTAGTAGTACCTCTTCGGGCTCTTGGATACCTTTTTCTTGCTACGTGTGCGTGTTCTTTAGATCCTCAGATGGCTCTAGCACTTTCGTGACCACGGGCTGAGAGTCTTTGCTAGATTTTGGCATTTAGCAACTGGCATACGGTTTAATGTGAAGTCAACAACAACAACAACAATGCCGTGAACAAACAGATTGACAAGACGTGCGGACTGATGCGAGGTCCACGACACGTGCGTAGCGTGGTAGAAAATTGTTCAACCCATCCTCTACAAATGCCGTAGTCTTGTACTCTGCATCCTCTGCATAGACTACACCCACGATGACATGAATTCGCAAAGCCTACCAAGAGTTTCCTAGTACTGGAAGCCTTTCGGGGACGATTTGGGGACACTTAACCCTTCTGAGGCTTCGCCCACTTTTTTTTTATCAAAAAAGTGATCACCGAATCCGGTCTACTCGATAAGGGGACAGTTAAGAAACATCCCCGAACCACCACGCAGGGAGTTGTATAGAACCTCTGTTGGCACAGAGCGGCAGAGCGAAGCACATCCACACACACGCACGGTAGGGGTACGCCGGCAGGCGCATGAAGGGTCATACAGGCCGTCTGAGGACCTCAGTCTTGGGAGCCGCCACTCTCGTTGTCCTGACTGCTGCCGCGTGGCGAGAAGAGGTTCGTGTTGGTCGAGAGGTATGTTCCGCGAGGGTCCTCTCCCACACACCGTACGCTCGGCTCCGTTGCCGTGGCATGAGCTCCGACGTAGAGGACGGGGAGGAGTACTTAGAGTACAGCAGCGAGGAGGACGAAGATTTTGAGCTGGTACAGACAGGCGATGTCTTTAGGGCGCCTTATGCTGCGAAAACACACAATTCCAGCCACAACACTCGCGGCGCCAAAAGGCATCGAGAGGAGCAGGGGGCACCGGATACCTCCCCACCACCGCCACCCATTAGCCAGCAGCAGCAGCAGCAGCAGCAGCAACAACAGCAACAGCTTCCTCAGCAGCAGCAACAACAGCAGCATCAACAGCAGCAGCAGCAGCAGCAGCAGCAACAGCTTCCTCAGCAGCAGCAACAGCAGCAGCATCAACAACAGCAGTAGCAGCAGCAGCAGCAGCGGCGGCAACAGCAACAGCAGCAACAGCAGCAGCAGCAACAGCAGCCGTCGCCCACGC